CTCTTTGTTATTGCTTAATTTGCCCTTGGTTCTGCCGTTTATAACTACAGAAGAACTAGAAGACTGCTGATTTTTAAACTTTCAAGTTTACTTGGTGCCTTTTGAAGACACAACTGTTGTGGAGTGTAGTGGTTTGTGCCTGTAATCCTTGCTTTCAGGAGGCAGAGGCAGGTATCAGAATGTAAGCGAGTTTGAGTTTGAGGCCAGCCTGATCTACATAGTGAGTTCCGACTCAGCCAGGGCTACACAACAGTATAAAAAGCAACTTTTTATATATATTTGTTGAACTAGGAGACCATAGATGAATTTCAGTAAATTTGAGAAATTGGTTGTAATGTTCAGTTTTTTCTAGAGAGAATCCTTTCTTTCTTTCTTTCTTTTTTTTTTTTTTTTTTTGGTTTTGGTTTTTTTGTTTGGTTGGTTTTGTTTTGTTGTTGTTGTTTTGTTTTGTTTTTTTCAGGACAGGGTTTCTCTGTGTAGCCCTGGCTGTCCTGGAACTGGCTCTGTAGAACAGGTTGACCTCAAACTCAGAGATCTGCCTGCCTCTGCCTCCCAAGTGCTGGGATTAAAGGCGTGCAGCACCACTACCCAAGAGAGTTCTTTCAAAAGAGAATATCATAGGGAAATAAGGTTGATCTATGACCCCTAAAATGTTAAAAACTACAAGCTTGAAGTATTTCTTTGTCTGTGTTTACTTTGTGTTGGTGCCCTTAGTCACTACTTCCTGTTGTACCTTCCAGGTGTTAGTGAGTATTTTGAAACACTGTGACATCTTGGGCATGGAGGAGGACCTGTTGATCCTGCGGGACCATTGTCGAGACCCTGCCATATCTGTGCGGAAGCAGGCCTTACAGTCCCTAACAGAACTTGTCACGGTAAGGAGGAGCATGCTGTGTAGAGATCCCTTAGTGCTTTGTATCAAAAGCAGCTCTGAGCTGGCTCTGATGGTTCACACTTAAAATTAACATTCATAAAGCTGAGGCAGGAGCATTACTGTGAGACTGAGGCCCTTTGTCTACAGTATACCCTGCCTTAAAGATAGATAGATAGATAGATAGATACATACATACATACATACATTCTGGAGTTGGAGGACTAGGGATAGAGCATGTGCTTTATATGTATAAAGTGCTTGAGTTTAGTCCCCAACACCAAACAGGGGCAGGAGTAATGCTGCATAATAACTACCTGTTGTGGGGCTGGAGAGATGGCTCAGAGGTTAAAAGCACTGGCTGTTCTTCCAGAGGACCCGGGTTTAATTCCCAGCATCCACATGGCAGCTCACAACTGTCTGTAGCTCCAGTTTCAGATGATCTGACACCTTCACGCAGATATACATGCAGGCAAAACGTGAGTTCACATGAAATTAAAATAAATAATTAAAAAAATTACCTGTTGTTAAATGTTAAGTAAACCATTTAGAGGACTGAACACCAACCACAGGGAATAACAAGTGTCTTTGGCAGATGATTTTTAATTCAGCCAGGAACTAATGCGCAATGCTGTGCCACTTCTTAATTTTATCTTAAATCTCAGCTAGAAAAAGAAATCAAAATTTTAAAAATTGATTTTAATTTTTATTTATGTGAATGTGTTCTCATGTCTGTGTCTGTGAGTATATAAATGTGTGTGCATGTGCCCACAGTGGTCAGAGGCCCACAGTTGATTGTGAGCCACCAGATGTGGATACTGGGAATTGAACACTGGACCTCTGGAAGAACAGCAAGTGCTCTTAACCACGGAGCCATCGCTGTTACCTTTTGCTGTTGTGACAAAACACCATAACCAAAAGCAACTTAAGGAAGAGAGAGTTTATTTTTGCTTATGGTCCCAGAGGGTAAGAGTCCACTGTGGCAGGGAGGCGTGGAAGCAAGTAGCAGGTATTGTGATGATCAGGAAGCTGAGAGATTACCTCTTTTTTTTTTTTTTTTTTTTTTTTGGTTTTTCGAGACAGGGTTTCTCTGTGTAGCTTTGCGCCTTTCCTGGAACTCACTTGGTAGCCCAGGCTGGCCTCGAACTCACAGAGATTCGCCTGCCTCTGCCTCCCGAGTGCTGGGATTAAAGGCGTGCGCCACCACCGCCCGGCCGAGAGATTACCTCTTAACAAAGCAAAGAACAAACTGGAGTGGGGCAAGACTTTAAACTCTGACAGCCCACCCTGCCCAGTGACATACTTTCTCCAGCAAGGCTGTACCCTCCCCAGTGGAACCTCTCCAGACAGCACCAGCCGCTGGAGACAGAGTGTTCAGATGCCTGAGCCTAAGGGACTTGCTCATTCAAGTCACCACACCATCTCTTGAGCCCCAGAAACAGGAACTTTAAAGTCAAATTCACTAAATTCAAGACCTAGATTAATTTTTGTCAATTAATATATATAGCTAGGTGGTGGTGGTAGTGCACGCCTTTAATCCCAGCACTCCGGAGGCAGAGGCAGGTGGGCTAATCTGGGTTCCAGGACAGCCCTGTCTCAAAAAATTTAAAAAAAAAAAAAAAAGTAGGTATTACCAGAAGAGCATATTCATTAATATGATATACAATTTATTTCTCTCAACTAATTGACTATTGAAGAATTTTTAAAAAGGGTTATTATTTTTATCAGAGAAGACATTAAAGAATGCATACCTTTAAGATTTATTTTTATTAAGTGTGTGCATGCCCATGGAGAACAGAGACATCAGAGCCTCTGGAGCTGGAGGAACATAGAGTTGTGAGCTGCCTGACATGGTGCTGGGAATTCAACTTGGTCCTCTAGAAGAGCAGTAAGTGCAGTTAACTGCTGAGCCATCTCTCCAGCCCCAGCAATGCATATTTTGGCTTTTTCTGTCAGCACATTTTCCTTGGAGTAAATATCATTTGTTGTTCTTGAGTAACCAGAATAATACTAATCACTAATAATAAAATAATGGCTTTAATTTATAAGTTTAAATTTTAATATGAATTGATTTATCATAAGCTGGAGGTTATAGCTTTTCAGGATCTCTGAATGTTGTTTTTTGGTTTTGTTTTTGTTTTTTTTGCTTTATGTTTTATTTGCAATTAAGTGCAATTATTTGTTTGCTCGGGCATAGTGCCAAGTATTATACCCAGGGCTTTGAACATACAACAAATACCTTCTAATATTAAATTGTAGCCCTACCCCATGTAGGTGTGATTATATTTAGCATATCTGTTGAAACGTTGATTGCACCTTTATTGGCTTGTCCCTAGACTTGTAATAGTGTTAGATCTTCTGCTATAATGTTTTCAACCTTAGGCCCAACCTACATGTGTCCCAGTCCAGAAAGCCTGGTTGATGGGAGTCATCCCAGTGGTGATGGACTGTGAAAGCACAGTGCAAGAAAAGGCCCTGGAGTGCCTGGACCAGCTCCTGTTGCAGAACCTGAAGCATCACAGGAAGTTTCACAGTGAGGACAGAAACCAGGTGCTTGCTTGGGCGCTACTTGCTCTCCTTACTACAGAAAGCCAGGATCTGAGGTACGTCAACTGTATCACTTCAATGTCTTATTGACGGCCGTGTTCTGTTTTCGTTGTGTTGTGTTTTAAAGATTTACTTTTATGTGTATGAATGGTGTGTGTGTGTGTGTGTGTGTGTGTGTGTGTGTGTGTGAGAGAGAGAGAGAGAGAGAGAGAGAGAGAGAGAGAGAGAGAGAGAGAGAGAAAGAGAGAGAGAGAAAAAAACCTGAGGAGGCCAGAAGGTGGCACTAGATCCCCTGGAACCCGAAACTAGAGCTATGTATGCTTTTTGAGCCATCATGTGGGTACTGGGAACTAAATGTAGATCCTCTGTGAGAGCAGCCAGTGCTGTTAACCACCTGAGCCATCTTTCTGGTCCTCATATGGTGTTTTAATAATAGTTTTCTATTGATATCTAAAGACCAGTAATCCAGATGCTTAGTATATGTGAAGACCCTTTTTCTTGATTCTCTTCACATCTCTTAGCATGATTGTGGTGAGTGCTTTTGTGGTACCTTTGATCCCTTGGCTTCCTTCTGCCTCCTTTCCAGTTTTAGACCGGCGCTGTGTTAGTACTGAACATAGTATGGCACTGTAGCATCGACATTCCCCACCACTTGCTGTTAGGAGGACTACATCTTCTTGGTGTTTTGGTTTCTGGTTTTTCAAGATGAGCATGTCTCTCTGTAGCCCCAGGTGTTCTAGAACTCCCTGTGTAGACCAGGCTGTCCTCAGACTCAGAGCTCCACCTGCCTCTGCCTCTTAAGTACTAGGACTAACGTGTGTGCCACCACACCCAGCCTACATTTTCATTCATAAAAGCTAAACCTTATACATTTTATTGAGCTGGGTGAAATAGCTCTGCACTTTTGTTTCTATTTGATAACATTGAGGGTGGTAGAGATTGAGGATGGTAGACATTGAGGATGGTGGACATTGAAGATGGTGGAATTTGAGGATGGTGGACATTGAGGGCGGTGAACACTATGCTGAGGAGTTAGGATCTGTGATGATACCTTGACTACAGTGATCTTATGATTAGTTTATATTTAAATTATAGTGTCTGCTTTTTTCTTTTTCTTACATCTCCTTGTCATACAAGAAACACAGACTTTTCCATGTAGTTATGGAGGGATTATACAATAGAAAGTGATCGATTGCCATAAACTTCTGCCCTGTGGTCTTTGCAGAGAACTTTTTCCTGGGCCTGAGTTTCCTCGTTTTCAAGCGCAGATAATGGGTTGCTTGAGTTTTCATCCCTTTTGATGTTAGAACTTTACCACTAAAAATCCATTCATCTAGTCAGTGTTTTCTCGGTACTACAGAGGATGCAGCATGCAAGGTACTACCTTGAAGCAGAGAATGACCTCAGCAGATACTAAGCCTGGATCCTTAACCTCGGACTTCTGAGCTTTCAGGATTGTGAAAAGTAGATTCTGTTCTTCATCAATTACACATTCCTAGGTGTTGCTATAGCAACTCAGAGGCCAGACTAAGATGACACCATAAAAAACATTCGAAGGACAGATTGAAAACTGTAACCCACATGAGGGATGGTCACTTATATTTACTAATGACTCATGTACTAATGACTCTTACCCAAGAGAGGATTCCTAACAGAAAATAGATGAGGTGAAAAGTAGTTCACAAAAGTTGAAGTAGAGATGAGCAATAGACAGAAATATTGAATCTGATATTAAACTTCTCTAACAGTCAACAGAGTTAAAAATAACACAAGTTTCAGTTTGTTAAAATGTGAAACTTGACAGTCTATACTGTAACCAAGTGTTACTGAGAATTTAAGAAAGTGACAATTTTGCATGCTTGAGGAGTGCACAAATTGTCAAAACCTGCTTAGAAGACAACCCAGCAATGAATATTTCAAGCATAAGGAACACTTGTTGTTTTTTATCCCAAGGTTGTGCCCTCCCTTCCTCTCTGGCATCCCAGCCCACCCAGGCCGGGTCTCTTCTGTCTGATCTGCTTGCAGTCCACCCATTGACCTTTTTACATGCATGACCTTCAGGAAGCAACAGAAAATGTCCTCTTACTGGGCCACTCGACCAGTGCTTCATCTTTGTCTCTTAGGTGTCCCACCAGGTGCATTCTGGGTCTTGACAGTCCCTCTCTGCTCCCCACACAATCTGCCCTGCATACAGGTACCTCTGAGGACAGCAGGTTCTCTCTGTGACATGTTCTTTTAGCCCACTCTGCTTTGCTTGATCTTACTTGTCCTTCGATTTTCCTTTACTTATCTCTGGCAGTCTTCCTTGGCTCCCCCGGTGTATGAGGGTTCCCTAGAGTAAATGAACTTACAGAATACAGATATTTATTATATATGTAGGTACACACACACACACACACACACACACACACACACACACACGGGATTTATTAAAATAACTTACAGGCTATGTGGTCCAGCTGGTCCAACAAGGGCTGTGTACCAACGGAAGGTCTAAGAATCCAGTAGTTTTTCCATCCACAAGGCTGGATTGTCTTAGTTAGGGTTACTGTTGCTGTGATAAAATACAATGACCAAAAAAGTAACTTGGGAAGGAGAGGGTTTATTTCACCCACAGTTCCATATAGCAGTTCATCATCAAAAGCAGTGAGGGCAGGATCTCAAGCAGGGCAGGATCCTGGTGGCAGGAGCTGATGCAGAAGCCATGGAAGGGTGCTCTGCTTACTGGCTGGCTCCTCGTGGCTTACTCACTCAGCCTGCTCTCTTTTTTTTTGTTGTTTTTTGTTTTTTGAGACAGGGTTTCTCTGTGTAGTTTTGGTGCCTGTCCTGGATCTCAGTCTGTAGACCAGGCTGGCCTCGAACTCACAGAGATCTGCCTGTCTCTGCCTCCCAAGTGCTGGGATTAAAGGCGTGTGCCACCACCACCCAGCTCAGCCTGCTTTCTTATAAACCCCAGAACCACCAGCCCAAGGATGGCACCACCCACCAGGGGCTAGGCCTTCCCCCCTCAATCACTAATTAAGAAAATGCCTTTCAGTTGGATCTTATGGAGGCATTTTTTCTATTGAGGTTCCCTCTTTCAGATGACTCTAGCTTGTGTCAAGTTGACATAATACTAGCCAGCACACTGGATGTCTCAGCTGGTCCTCAGTATATGCCAGGATCCCAAAAAAGTAGGCTCTAATTCCAGTGAATGAAATGGGCTTGCTAGTGAAAGCTAGAGCAAAGGTCAAAGAGAGCAACCTTCCTTCTTCCATGACCTTGTTATGGGCTGCCAGCAGAAGGTGTGGCTCAGATTAAAGGTGGGTCTTCCCAGTTTAAAACGTCTGATGAAAGGTGGATCTTCCCACCTCACAGATCTGGGTTAGAAGTGGGTCTTCCCACTTCAAATGATTCAGTTAAGAACAGTCCTTACCTGGGTGGTGGTGGTGCACACCTTTAATCTCAGCACTTGGGAGGCAGAGCCAGGCGGATCTCTGTGAGTTCGCGGCCAGCCTGGACTTCAGAGTGAGATCCAGAACAGATACCAAAACAACACAGAGTAACCCTGTCTCGAAAAAACCAAAACCAAAACAAAACAGCCCCTCACAGGTGTGCCCGGCCATTTGGGTTTTAGTTAACTCCAGGTGCAGTCAAATCGATAACCAAAACTAGCCATCACACTAGCCTGAGTGCCTGCATTCCTAGGTCTGTGAGGCATGTTTATATCTGAAATTGAGGCTTACCTTAGGCTTCTTCAGCATCACAGCATCCTCTGTGAGCATTGTTCTGATTTTCAGGTAGAGGAAACCTATCTGAATATAAGTTTATATAGAGGTCAGAGGTAAAGGCAGGTGACTACCGAGCGTGAATGACAGATGAGTGATATTTAATGATGAAACCTGGGGAAAGTTACACGAAGAGCTATACTTTATAAAGGCAGCCGGGGGCGGGGGGCGGGGGGGGGGGGGGGGGGGGGGGAGATAAATGATTTCTGGAGCTTGCTGTTCTTTTTTTCCCTAATAAATTAGCCATCAGAATTATCCCAAAGTGAGGAGGAGTGTAGAAAGGAGGCCTTAAGTGTGACAGTCTTGTGGAGCTGCCATGAAGACCTGGGCTAGGGCGATAGTAGAGCTTTTAATTATAACATTAGGAGGTTTCTTGGCATTTTTACTTTTATGCTTTCATGATTATAGAATGGACGTTCCAGAAGCAATATGATGATACTGAAACAGATTGCACACAAAAGCAGATACAAGAAACCCTATTTCTGTTTGAGCCGGAGTTAATAGGGTTACAAAAGGATACAGCAGTGACCCACCCGGTTTATTTTGTTTGGGAAGAGTTGTTTTGTAAAGAGTACTGTTACTTACACTGATGTAAATGGTTTGTTGGTTCTAGGTTTTTGTTCTTTTGGTCTTTGTTTTCAGCACTAGGGTTTGAGGTGTACTAGATGGCACTGTGTCTTCAACCTTCCTTTTGCATCTTATTTTGGGATAGGATCTTGCTAAACTGCCCAAGCTGGCCTTCAACTCAGTCTCTAGCTGAGGTTGTCCTTGAATGTGCAATCCTCCTGTCTCAGCCTTCTAAGTAACTAGGATTACAAGCTTGTACTACCAGGTCCAGCTTATTGTTAAATTTTAACTGGCAAACATTTAAATTCCTAACATAGTATGAGTCTCTTCCCCCCCCACCCCGTGTGTGTGTGTGTGTGTGTGTGTGTGTGTGTGTGTGTGTGTGTGTGTGTGTGTGTGTGTCCTTCCATCCTACATATGCAAAAGTTTTTTAGAGGTGACCACTAATTTTAAAGAATTTAAAGGGATCTCTACATAGGGTGTAGCTCAGTGGTAGGAGTACTTCCCTGGTATGTACAAGGCCCAGCGCCACTAAAAATACATAGACAGGAATAAGTGAGTGAGTCAATTTAAAGAAGCCTCACGTTGAAAAAGATATGAGAGCCACTGATCTGGAAATCAGTTTGAAAAGTAAAAAGTACTAATAGAGGGCCTGGGGAGATGCCTGCTGAGTGGTGTCCCTGGTCCACAAGTATGAGGATACGAGTTTGAATCCCCAGCACCCACAGCAGCAGACAGCTGTTAATGTGGTGCTGCGGATGGAGGGAAATATGGCTGGAGCTCATTGGCTGGTAAGCCTGGCTGCTCAGTGAACTCCAGATTCAGTGCAGGAAAGGTGGATGGAGCCGGGGAGATGGCTCAGTGGTAAAGTGCTTGCTAGGTAAGCAGGAGGACCAGAGCATTCTGGCCTTGAATTTAGATCCACAGCACACACATGAAAGGCTGGGCTTGCTAATCCTAACCCAAGGGAGGCAGAGACAGGAGAATTCCAGCTTGCTGGCTACATAGTGTCGCCAAATTGGTGAACTTCAGCTTTAGTAAGTGACCCTGTTTTAAATAAATGAAATGGAAGAAGTCTCTTGACATAGACCTGTGGCCTGCACATATACACACCCACGGGTGCACACACAGACATGCATTCTCAACACGTGAATAAAAACAGAACAAATCAGATGGGGGGTGTTGGAGGAAGTCACCTCTGACCCACCTACAGACATGCACACCAATGCTAATACATACATAATACACACCCCCAAAAAGCACTATTAAGAACAGTAAGGTTGATGAAATAAAGAGCTCTATAAACAGTAATATACAAGATTTACATTAAGATCTTTAATCAACAGAGAGCAGGTGCTTTGTAGGATAGCTGACCTTTGAATTGACTTTTTATTTAAGATTTGTTTTATTTTTTAAATTGTATGTGTGTCTGTATATCTTCCTGGGGTATGTGCACTTGAGTGTACGTGCCTACAGAAGCCAGAAGGCCTCAGATCCCCCAAGCTGGAGTTACAGTTGGTGGCAACACAGCCTGGCTGCTGGCAACCAAACTCTGATCCTCTGCAAGAGCCATGTGGATTTTTCACCATTGGGCCGTTTCTCCAGCTCCCTGAACTGATCCTTGAAAGCTAGTAAGAAGCAACAGGACAACCAGGAAAGGAAACAGCCCCAAAGGCATGAGGGTGTGTGTATTGCACTAGCACCTCAGTGCATTGATGGCTGCTGTGACTGTGGGGACCTGGGGCCCAAATTAAACGGGAGCATTGTAATACAACATGCCAAGAAGCTTGATTGTACGTTGGAAGCAGAATAGCAAGGAGGAAGTTGCTGGTGAGCTTATATGGAGGAAGAAGACAGGAGCTGACACGTTAGGACCTACAGAGAATGAATTTGTGTTTGGAGACCAAGGGGACTAAACAGGAGATTGAGAGCACAGGCCTGTGTAACAAGGACAGAATAAGGTGGGGCCAGTGGAGCTGGAGGAAGGAGGTGTCTCAGAGCTGGAGGAAGGAGGTGTCTCAGAGCTGCTTAACAAGTGTTGGAGGTGGAGAGTAGAAGGACCCGGAAGAGGAAGTCGAGTGTGTTCAGTTAGCAAACATTTTAAGTACTTCATTTTCAATGCCCTCCTCTCAGTGCTCAAAAGTTGCAGGACTTGACACCTCACTCTATTTAGGTTGCTCTTAATCTGGTGGAAATTTCACAGAGCAAAGTCAGTTTTGGTAGGAAGTGTGTTACAAGCGCACAAAAGAAGGATATAATCACATTTTGCTATTTCTTCTCTTCCTGCTTCCCTCCCTCCATCCTTTCTCTTGGCAGGAGATCGAATCCAGTGTCTTGCACATGCCATCCCTCCAGCCCCAAGAGCTATGTTTTTATCTTCTTTCAAATACATAATGTGGCATTGTCTTGTGAATCATCTCATCTCATTCCATGCTATGGAAAGAAAATAAAAGTGATTTAGAAACAACAGTGAAGGGCACTGGGTAGGGAGTGCATCAGTTGGTAATGTGCTTGCCCCACAAGTTTGGAGACCTGCATTTTGGATTCCCAGGACCCATTCCCCATTAAAAAAAAAAAAAAAAAGATGAGCGTGATGGCACATGACCACAAAGCCAGCACTGGGAAGGCAGTCGGGAGGATCCTTGAGGTTTGCTGGCCAGCTTGTGTAGTTGAACAGTGAGTTCCAGGTTCGGGAAGAGACCCTGACTGGAGGGCAGTCAGCCAACCTCCAGAACATGGACCTGCCACGTGACACACAAAAACAGTAACATGGATACTTTGGAAGCATTTTAAACTTTGTTTGCGTATTACTAAGGTATAGCAAGTTTCAGCTCATTTGCTGTGCCATATTTAAATGCTGTGATGTCCTTTCTCTCCAGTATCTCATTAAATGAAGGACAGTGTGTCTATTCTTCTGTTACTTTGTTCCTAGCAACATGGGCGTAGCTGTTATAGTAAGCTATATGTGTGGAAATTTTGGAGGGGCGATTTTGCGGTTTTCTTCTTTATTGTAAGTAGTATTTTGTGAGGGGGCGTAATAAGGACAGCTTATTCTGAAGGGAAAATTAAGAAGACACCTGGTTTGGTATCAGCTATGCAAAGAGCTGGACTCGCTGAGTGGATGTTTTATGTGCCAGAGACATCCTGGATCTGCAGAAGTTGATACCCTTTCAGTGAGAGCTTGGTCGGAAGACTTTGGTATTTTTATGGTTACATTTCTCCTTTTCCTTCTCTTTTTTTCTCCCAGCCGCTATTTAAATAAGGCTTTTCGTATCTGGTCCAAGAAAGATAAATTCTCGTCCACCTTTATAAACAGTGTGATATCCCACACGGACACGGAACACTCTGCGCCAGCGTGGATGCTGCTCTCCAAGATCACTTGCTCATCCCCCAAGCTGGACTACACCAAAATAATGGAGTCATGGGAGAAGCTCAGCAGGTCTGCATGCTTGTAAAGTAGCCGCCAGCAGACACCAGTTGGCTGGGAGCAAAGCTCGTGTCTTCAGGAAATGGCCTGCTCCAGAGCTGTTGCTTTAAACCTTTAAGCTATTGCTTAAAACCAAGCTTGAAAAATAAGAATCACATCTGAGCAGTTTACCTTTGTCCAAGCTCATTAAGACCTTAATGTGTCCAGAACTCAGTTAAACCATGTTAACTACTCCACTTTTAATATTAACAATCCAGAAGCAATGGGTGGTGGTTGTGGTGGTTGTGGTTGTGGTTGTGGTTGTGCTCTTGGCAGCATGCTGTTTAACTTGGCCCTTTCTCCTTTTCCAGTGAACAGTCTCCCAATTCAAACACCTTAGGCTATATGCTGTGTGTCATTGGGCATATTGCAAAACACCTTCCCAGGAGCACCCGGGACAAAATAACCAGTGAGTCTAATGGAGACTATCTTGAGGCCTTGCCATTTACGGCAGCCTTTTCCCCCTCCATGGTTCTGTGTAATTTTAAGTGGTTAAATTTCAGGTTTTTCTTTTTCCTTAGGTGTTGTCAAAGGCAAGCTGAATGGATTTCGGTGGTCTCTAGAGTTGATCAGTTCGTCTGTTGACACTTTGCAGTGTCTTTGCAGAGCGTCTGCAAAGACACTGCAGGAAGAGCAGGTATGGCCGCACACCCTTCCTGTGTTTCCAACGTCTACTCGAACATGCTATACATAAAAGTCTGAGAAGTGTTGTCTGTGACTAGAGAGCCTGGGAGGATAGCAGTCCCCAGTAGCTCTTGCTGTACGTCAGCACCTGTGTGTCCAGCTGCCGACTTTCCTTAAGAGCTGGCTGCTGAAGACATGGCTCCCTTAGATCCATCCCTGCTTTGGCTCCACGTACAAGTGTCTTTTAGTAATGGGTGCCTCCTGATTGATATTTATTTTTCTGGTGACAGTTCTGCAAAATTATCGTTGAGTGAGTGATAGCCTGAACATTCCAAGGGCATTTAAGACATTGTCTTTTACCTAATTGTAGAGTTCCAGGCACAGCAAATGGTGTTTGATCTTTTGCTCTATCATATTCCTGGGAATGCCTGTGCCGTTAGTTAGTCACTCAAGTGTTTCCTGCTGGTACTGTGTC